GATTAAAGCCTGATTTATGTTGGGCAAATTGCATCTGAGCACAAAGTATTATGTTTCATTTTTCCTTTAAATCATTTCCACTTGAAATTCAGAATTACTTGCGGTGTTAAAATCAAATCTCTGAAGCAGTGCTTTTGGGAGTCTTAGGTAAGAAGGAAAGAGGTGAAACTGATACTTAACCCCTCTACCGGGACACTGACCATGCTCTCTATTTACTTCTCTGTTTTTCTCTTCCGGCGGTGATGGAGTGTAGCCTGATGATGTGAGGCTCAGGTAGGGAGAGTGAGAATTTCAAATCAAGCCCCCAATTCTTAAAGTTTTGACAGCAAATAATGTCCATATACCACTGTCATTCCCTTTGGCCCTAGACCCGATTTTTGGTGATGAAATCCATAGGGTCTTTAAGTTCATTTTCAGATAATTACTATATCCTCCTGAAGCTTATAAATAGACCCAGAGCCAGGAGAAATTATAAAACAAAAATAAGCAATCCAAAGCAAGCACGGGCTCCTCTGACGTGCATTCAAATACACAGCACCCCTGGGCTCCCCTGGCAGCCTCCAGTTTCTTGTTCAACCATCAGGTCCTTTGCAAGACTTTCCCTGGGCTCAGGGAATTAGAAAGAAGATTTGTTATTATTGTAAGACTCAGTGTGAGTGATGAGGAAGAAATTAGGTTTCTCATCCAAAAGCAGCATTTGTGATCCAAGAGAAGGGAGCCAGATATGAGAACAAGACCTGTGCCTAACATTCCTCATTCAAACTGCATTATAAGAAATGTCGACATTCAGTGCCCCAGCCCTATCCCAAGCTATTGTGCTTTTCTTGGAGAGGTCTCCCAATAAACCAGGAGTAAATTTTCCATCTTGAAGGCAGCTTGTCAGTAACTTGTCACCCTCTTCTCTTGCTCTGTCTCAGCACTGCCCTGTCCCAGTGTTTCTCAGCTGGGGATTTCATGCTCACATCCTTATCCAGCAGATACACTATTAGCTTCAAAGAAAACTGAGACTGTTGTGCACTTGGCCCCCTGAGCTTACCAAGGGCAGCTTTGTAGTTCTCTGAACTGCGGCGTCTGTTGACTGAGAGCAGGCTGGGAAGGCAGGATGCAGATGTTCTAGTCCAGGCACCAGGGCCAGCCCCAGGCTGGTTACCTGTGCAGCAGCATTGCAATGTGCTCCTGGGACACCCGACAGGTGTTTTTTGGAGCTGGCACCAAACTCTTCGTGGAGGCCCGTAAGTTGATTTTCCCCCTATATATCTAGGGATAAATTGAGTCTTGGGACTGTGGCTGCCATCCAGTTTGCATTACTTGAGAAAGTAGACTAGGAGAAGTGGAGTGGGCCAGAGTGGAGACACTAGGCTGAGTCACTGAAGTAGCTCTATAACTATTTTTATTTTTTAGAAATATATGCTAAAACTATAGCTCTCACTTATCTCTGAAATCTTCAGAGCAGCCCAGACAGCATAAAGAAATCTAGAAGAATTATACTAATAGTTGGAGTACCCAGGTGCAGGAGGGGCAGTGGCAGATACACTGGGCGCAAATTCTGCAGGGAGTTGCTTTATCCTTACATATCCCTTTGGCTAAGCTGACTAGTGTGCCTGCCTCATTACAACCTGAAAAAAAATGTCCTGCAGCTTGGAAGGTTTAGAAGATAGGTGTTTAACCTGGTGGGAATAATCAGGTAGAGCAAACTGATATTCTAGCGTTCAAGTTAATGCCCATGTTGCAGAGAGCCGGGACATTGTAAGTGACATTTGTTATTGATGTTGCAAGTTTTCCAGAGCCAGTAGGACTCTATGCGAATCTAAACCCTAGACGATTTCTAAGTCTATAATTTTAGAAAGACTGTTCAGGAAAGATAAACACTTCTCTTTTCATTGTTTACCAGCATATAACCTAACATTGGACTGGTATTCATTAAAAAAAAAAGAGAGAGAGAGAGAGTCTGAAAATAACAATTATCTAAACAAGTAACACTTTGAAATACATGTTGAAGTGCAATTACACTTGTGGACCAAGAGGAAAGACTAGAAATTCTCAAAAGACAAACAATTTATTAAGTCTTTAAATTTTGGACTACAATAGTGCAAATTTTATACAATTTCAAATTATGGTTTAAGTCCAATATAAAAATAGACTAGGTTACATATGGCAACTATATTTAATGCATTCCATTTTTTTTAAAGCTCAATTCAGTCAGACAGCCTTTTCTTTGGTTACCATGATACCAAAGAATGATTTAGATAAAACATTTTTCTTTCAAACAATTGTCTTGAACATATAGACACTGACCAAGAAAGAGTCTAAGAAAACTGTTTTACCAAATCAATGCACTGTGCTCTATCTGAAATGCTGATAACAGATTCAGAGCTCAGTATCATCAGTGGGTGATCTTCTTCAGACATCTGTGTTACCAGTTTTATTACATTCTTCAGATTATTCAAACCAGGTCTCTCTAGCCCAAAATGATCATTGACAACTGCCTTTGAACCTAGAGTTTTAAATCCCAAACAACCCTTAATTAGCCAACTAAATCAGACTAGGATTGGATGATACGCTTAAGTAACCAAGAAGATAGAGGGGGTTTTTTGTTCTGTTTTTTAATGGACAAGTTTCCTCTCTATATAACTCATAACTCCCTAGAAAATCGACTGAAATACATCTCAAACCAAAGTCAGTATAGTAAGCAAGAAATGTGGCAGTTCTGAAGGGAGGAGAGTGAGCAGAACGTGTGGTTTCTAAGCCGTTGCTGTGAGGGTTATCAGTGTCAGTTATCAGTGGCTTCAGTTCTCATGTAGGTTGAAGCATTTTCTAGGAGTGCCCTATTAAAAATCCTCAATCCCTCTCTTGTTTAGAACTAAAACCAAAAAATATAAGAAACTAGATTCTTAGGAACGAGTTTCCTGCCCTGAGTGACTGGAATAGAATCCAGTCTTTTAGCCGAGCTTCCCGACAGAGAAAAAAAAATGGAGAATTATGATGATGGTGATGAGGGGGTTTCTCTGAATAGGGTTTTCTTAAGAAAACCCTGATCAGCCATGGACCATTTACAAAATGGTGATCAGCAAAAACTTCCTGATGAGCAATCACTCCATCTCAACCAGATATAACTGATTGATTTGGTTATAGCTCCGCTACCATGAGCATCACAGCTGAAATCCAAATCCAGAGTCAGGATAGAGCACTAGAAAACACATTCCATATACACATTCATTACCAAACACTTTTTGTTTAGCAATACCTTGTGTCTTGATTGTAGACCATAGTAAATAAAAGTACACTTGAATTCAACATATTTTTAATTTGATACCAAGAAGCCAAACTCATCTAAGTTTTGAATATGGAGGGCCATATTCACACAAGCTAGTAATACTGAAAATCAGCAGTTAAGTGTACAATGGGAAATCTATACAGATCACCATTCACAGATTGGTTGTCTTTCCTGATGTCAAGTGTCTACAGGTCTCTTTCTTTAGCAGTTATTTGAAGATAGCCTAAGAGTTCAAGTCTCCATGGACAAAAAAATGTATCCCAATTCAGAAATGTCAGTAAGGCATGGTGGGAAAGATTCTTAATTACCACCCTCAAAGCTTCAAGACTTTTGGTTTTAAGAGGAAAAAAAGATGCACAGAGTAGCAGATAGATGGTAAATCAAGGTGAGGCGTGACAGGAGAGAAGGCTACGAGACCCAATTACTGGGACCAACATTCCACAGCTCTACTTAGAATAACACCAAAAAAAAAAAAAAAAAAAAAAAAAAATTTGACTTCAACTGGTTTTATATCTTTAAGGACTTCCTGAGAATGATAGTTGTTATTCTTTGATTAAAGACTGAAAGGAAACTGTAGGGTAGACTCTTACAAAAGAATAAGTGTTCACCTAAAGACAGAGAGATGTATACTTAACTTAAGCAGATCCCTTCCAGTCCATAAAATGGAGATGAAACCCTGAAGTGACCCCAACACTACTATCCTCAGAATGTTTGAACCAATTATGTAGTCCTCAGATCCTTGATTCTTTTTTTGTTTGTTTTGTTAATCCTCACCCAAGGATATTTTCCATAGATAGAGTGGAAGGGAGGGAAGGAGAAGAAGAAGAAGAAGGAGAAGAAGAGAGAGAGAGAGACAGACAGACAGACAGACAGACAGAGAGATCAATTGGTTGTCTCCAGCATGACCCCTACCAGAGCCAGGGATCAAACCACAACCAAGGTACGTACCCTTGACCGGATTCAAATCCGAGACTCTTTGGTCTGCAGGCCAACACTCTAATTGCTGAGCCAAACCAGCCAGGGCATAGACCCTTGATTCTTTTATTGACATAATACAAAGCATGAGAACCTGCCCTGATCTCCCTCCAAGGGCCCATGCATTTAAAATAAACCAACTGAGCCCTGGCTGGTTTGGATCAGCAGTTAGAGCGTCAGCCTGTGGACCAAAGGGTCATGGGTTCTATTTCCAGTCAAGGGCACATACCTGGATTGCAGGTTCGATCCCCAGCCCTGAGTATCTCTCACATGGATGTTTTTCTTTTTCTCTACCTCCCTGCCTTCCACTCTATCTAAAAATCAATAGAAAAATATCGTCGGGTGAGGATTAACAAAAAAATTAAATAAATTTAAAATAGTAAAAATAAAATAAACATACTGATGTGAACAGGTCCTCAGCCTGACCTTGATTGTCCTGAGGATTGATTAATTAAAGATAGATTGTTGAAACTCAGATGATCCAGAAACTTTTTTGTAGTTCATATTTTGCATCTCTGCTCCCAGCCATGTCTCTTAGCAGCTCCTAACTGTAATTTAAACTGACTGCCTTTCATTTCTGCTCCCCTTGGCCACCCTTTCATAAAGGTGTTAACAAGCCCAGGTCACTAACAGGATGCAGAAAAGTCTGGGGCATAGTGTTTGGCCCCAGGGAAATTGAGGCAAACACCCTTGTTTAACTCCAACACATTGTGGATAATCCTCTCATGAAATAAACTGTTTCTGTTTGCAGAAAGGCAGCCTCCAGCCAAGCCATCTGTTTTCGTCATGAGAAATGGGACCAACGTTGCTTGTCTGGTGAAGGATTTCTACCCTAAGAATATCAATATAAGTCTCCAGTCATCCAAGAAAATAATGGAATTTGACCCCACCATCGTCGTCTCTCCCAGTGGGAAGTACAGTGCTGTCAAGCTGGGTCGATATGAAGATTCTAATGCAGTGACGTGTTCAGTTGAACACAACAATCAAATCGTGTACTCCACTGACTTTGAACCGATGCAGAATTCTTCAGGTAGGTCAGCTCTGGCCTCAAGGGGCTGAGATTATGGGGAAGAAAATTGGGGGAAAGGGAAGTTGGAAATGTAAACTCTTGACAGACAACTCTCAACATGGTATCATGATGGAAACAAGACATAAGCCCAACTAGACCCTGTTATTGGCTGGGAAATTGAACTCTGCATTTCTGAGCTGGAATCTAAGATAAAATTCATCTGTTTCATCCTCATCTCTCTTTTCCACCAACTGTCTAGTTTACTAATGACTATCCTACTACTAGACTCTGGAGTTGAAAATCCAGATACATTCTAGTCTAGTGTGAAGGCCAAAACAAAGGGCAGTCCGACCTTTTGTGGGTTAAAAATATTAATCCTGCCCTGGCTGGTTTGGCTCAACAGTTAGAGCCTCGGCCCTCGGTTCAATTTCGGTCAAGGGCACATACCCTGGTTTCAGTTCGGTCCCCAGCCCGGGTAGGGGTCGGATGGGAGGCCACCAATTGATATGTCTCTCTCATGTCAATATTTCTCTCTCTCTCCCCCTCCCTCCCTCCCATTCTCTCTGAAAATAAATAGAAAAATATCCTTGGGTGAGTATTTAAAAAAAAAAAGAATATTACTTGGTTTTTTTTAATCTTTATTGTTGAATGTATTACAGATATTCCTTATTTTTTCTCCCATTGACCCCCTCCTCCCCACTCCCGACCCCCTCCCACCTTTTCCCATACTATTGTCTATGTCCATGGGTTATGCATATAAGTTCTTTGGTTTATTTCTTCCCACCCCCTAACCCCTTTCCCTTTGACGTTTGTCAGCCTAGCAACCAGTTTGTACTTCTTAATTCCTTCACCTTTTTCACCCATTCTTCTAACCTCCCTCCCATCTGGCAACCAACAAAATGTTTTCTGTATCTATGAGAATGTTGCTATTCTGCCTGTTCATTTTGTTTGTAGATTCCATTGTCGATAGATATGTATTCATTGCCATTTTGTTTGTTCATATATTTTATCTTTTTCTTCAAAAAGACCCTTCATCATTTCATATAATAATGGTTGGGTGGTAATGAACTCCTTTAACTTTTTCTTGCCTGGGAAGTTCTTTATATGTCCATCGAGTCTAAATGACAGCTTTGCAGGATAGAGTAATCTTGGTTGTAGGTTCTTGGTTTTCATCACTCCGAATATTTCTTGCCACTCCCTTCTGGCCTGCAAAGTTTCTTTTGAGAAATCAGCTCACAGCCTTATGGGAACTCCCTTGTAGGTAACTAGCTGCCTTTCTCTTGCTGCTTTTAAGATTCTCTCTTTGTCTTGAACCTTTTGCATTTTGATGATGATGTGTTTTGGTGTGGGCCTCTTGGGGTTCATCTTATTTGGGACTCTCTGTGTGCTTCCTGGACTTGTATGTCTGTTTCCTTCACCAAGTCAGGAAAGTTTTCTGCCATTATTGTTTCAAACAGGTTTTCAATTTCTTGTTCTTTCTCTTCTCCTTCTGGCACCCCCAAGATGCGAATGTTGGCACGCTTGAAGATGTCCCAGAGGCTCCTTACACTATCCTCACTTTTTTGGATTCTTTTTTCTTTTTGCTGTTCTGATTGGGCGTTTTTTGCTTCCTTCTATTCCAAATCGATGGTTTGCTTCTTGGATTTACGTACTCTACTATTAAAGCTGTGTAAATTATTCTTTATTTCATTTAATGCCTCCTTCAATTCTGACTGTGCATCCATCATTTCTGACTGGTCTTTTTTATGCTCTTGAGGCCCTCACTAAGTTCACTGAGGTTCTCACCGAGTTCGTTGAGCGTCCTTATAAGCAGTATTTTGAAATCAGCATCTGTTAGGTTGCTTATCTCCATTTCACTCTAGTTCTTTTCTTGGGGTTTTGTTCTGTTCTTCCATTTAGGACCTGTTTCTTTGTCTCCTCATTCTGGCTGCCTCCCTGTGTTTGTTTCTGTGTATTACTTAATGAGATGTATGGGGCTAGCTGAGACCAGATGCTGCTTGTTTGAAAGAATTTAGGAAAAACCTGAAGCAGGATCCAAGACAGGCCAATCCTATGGTTAAGCAAGTGGCACCAGCTTGGGTGGGCCTGAAAGTTGGGTGGGGTGGGGCCTCAGGGAATCACCAGGGCAGGGTTACCAGTGTGAACCAGGTTGCTGGAGTCCCAGATAGGGCAGCTGTCTGCCGCCCCAGGGAAGGGCTCACCAAAGGAACAAAGGCCTCTGATAGCACGTTTGTCTTGGAGAAAGCCCCCTCTCCAGCCCTCGCTCCAGTGCCAAACAGCTCAGTTCTTCCCTGTATGTCTCTGGTGCCCCTCGAGCTGCCTCCCCTCCAAGCTTAGAGGGAGAGAGACCGATAAGTTCATGCACGGGCCCTTTAAGGAGCTGCCTGGAGCTCCAGCTGCATCAGCTTCCCTGAGCCTCAGTTCCCGCTGGTTTTTCCAGCCAGAATTATGGGGATTCTCTTCCTGGCACTGGAACCCTGAGCGGGTCATGTGGTGTGGGACAGGGACCCCTCAGTCCTCAGGAAGGACCTTCCCAGCCGAGGTATCCTCCTGATTTTTATCCACCACACGTGGGTGTGGGACCAGCCTGTCTTGCCTCCGCCCCTCCTACCAGTCTCGATGTGGCTGCTGCTTTAATTCCGTAGTTGTAGGACTTCCATTCAGCTTGATTTCAGGTGGTTTTGAATGATGGTTGTTCTGTAGTTTAGTTGTAACTTTGATATGGTTGTGGGAGGACGCGATACCGTGTTTACCTACACCGCCATCTTGACCGTCTCTAGAATATTAGTTCTTACAAATTAGAGGCATGCCTGGATATTGGCCTCATGGTGCAATGAAATAAAGCCCTGTATGGTAGGTATGTTGACTGTGTAAATAGCTATATGACCTTAACTAAATCATACCTCTGGTCCTCAGTTTACTGACTTAAAATCTTCTCAAGTTTTAAAACCTAAAATCCTTTGAACCTCTTGGTTGCCAGGGTAAGTCTGACCACTTCTATTTGTTTCAGATAACCTAAAACCAACAGAACCTGAAAAGAAACAGCAAACTTCAAAGATCTGCCATGCCCTCAAAGGTTAGTTGAAATCCAAGTGCCAACTTCACAACTGAGGGGTAAAGCAAACTTGTAAATGTGAGATGGGGCCAAAAATCACCAGATTTCAAAAGAAAACAAAACACATACTTGAGCTCAGTTGGCTTCCTGTGATTCTCCCAGCAGAGTTTGGGCTGGAAGCATGGGTTTCCAAAGCTTACCAGGCTGGTATGAGCGGTAGCCTGTGGTCACTGAGGGCTGCCTGACACCAGCTGAGCTTGCAGACCAGGAAGAACAATGGTGATTCGGGTCAGGCTGGTGTCAGCATTGTCGGCCCAATTCCTGGAAGGGAATTTATTTTCTCAAGGAAGCCACCATCTTTTTTTAAATATATTTATTAATTTTTTTAATTTATTTTTGTCACAGATGTTTCTCCTTTTTCCCTCATTGACACCCTCCTCCCGACCCTCACGACCCCCCTCCCCGCCACCCCATCCCCAGCATTGTTGTCTGTGTCCATTGGATCTTTATTCTTGTTCCACCACAGTTCAAGCTGGGAAGGTGAACATGGTATCCCTCACAGTGCTGGGGCTCCGAATGCTGTTTGCCAAGACTGTTGCTGTCAATTTTCTCCTGACTGCCAAGTTATTATTCTGTTAAGGTAAGAATCCGGGGCTTTGTATTCCTTCCTCCACCCGAACTATGCTGTACATGGGGAGAAAAGGAATTTAGAAATGGTAAAAGACCAAGAAGCAGTGGGAAGAGAAAACACATAGACACATATTTCAGATTAATGAGGGGGCGTTATCTCAGATAATCACCACTATACCTCACTTCCTGTTATCCTTTTATTTCAAGCCAGACTCAAACCCATTATGCAGTATAATGTCATATCAGTCAATAACCCCCACCTCCAATGCAGGAGCGAAGATATTAGAGCTAAATAAATAGAATCAGTCTTCTTCATTCAACTATTTTTGTTTTTCTGGCAAAGGGGCCATAGGTTATTTGCAAAACCATCATTAAACTTCCCACCTAAAAAATATTTGGGGGAACAGAATCTGTCTTTGCCCAGATAAAGAGGATGTCAGTTCCCAGTCCTTAATCATAGGCCTCTGATGTGTAAACCAGCCTATCATCGGGGTGAGCCTGTATCCCCACTAGTCATGAACAGCCCGCTACTAGCTACTCAGGATGTATATGATCGAGGCTGAGACATAAATGTTTGCCAGACATTACTTGCATTTCCTCTTCAGGTAAACTTACATATGAAATTCCAACTGGGGCCTAGGTTTGCCAATGAAGCTTTTTATCCAGTACCCCCCAGTACTCCTTAATCCCAGCTCCTGATCTAAGAACAACCCTAGACTTAGAGTGTTGGACTGATCTGACCCAGCCTACAAGCATACCCAGTCATTCCTGAACAGGTGACTGTTTTACCAACAGTCCCAAGGACACAGGCCATAAGGTTGTATATAAAGAGCACTACACTGACAGTCAAAAGATCTGGGTTTTAGTCCTGACTTTGTCATTCACTCACTGTGTTACCTTAGCCAGATTGCTTCACCTCTCTGAGCTTGGGTTTTTGCATCTATAAAACAAAGAGTTAAGAATGACTAAAGGAGAGCAAATGGGTTTCATGACTTGTGCCGACATGGATACACTAATAGTGACCAGGTGAACTACTGCCGTGTGTAGAAGGGCAATGTGCCATAATAAATTAGTGATATCCACAGTGCTGGCCATCCCCAGACTACATACTACTATCGTTCCTTCCACCACTGATGGTCTGTGATTCTACATCAATTCTGACAACTTTCCTTCCTTGCAGGCTGCCGGGCAGGGGAGGGCTATACTCCCTGAAAGAAAACCAAAGCCAGCAGAAGTGCTCCGAAGGCTTCCAACTTCTCAGTGATTCAAGTTAACCCGCCTCAGCTTTGCTTAAATGGCTGCTTCCCAAACAAGTTTTTCTTTTTTTTTTTTTTTTTGGCACGTGCCACTAGCGGGAACAGAACCCGGGACTCTCTGGTCCACAGGTCAATGCTCCAACCGCTGAGCCAAACCTGCCAGGGCCCAAACAAGTTTTTCTTTGAAGGCAACTAACCCAGCTCATCCTCCAGCATGGTGGAAAGATAAAGTCCTGGGGGGTAGGATTTATGGTCCTAAGCGCTTCATATGCTGCTTTATAAATGGATATAGAGATACAAAGGGACACTGGGCTCATTTTTTATTTCTATAATTGATACACTTTGAAAATGGTGTCTTGTTCCTTTTACTTTCTTTGCCTTAAGAAATAGGAAGTAGGAGCCACCAGGTTCCCAACTCCATCCTCCAAGAGGAAAGTAGGCCCTGGGGGAAGGAAGCAGGTGTCCTTTACCTAAACATGAAAGGCTCTGCTCGACCCAGCACTAGATTGGCCCCAAACTGGCATCTTGTCTACAAAAGCACTTTCTGCTCTTTCTACTACTTTACAAACAAAATTACTTTTGACTCCCTAACACTCTCCATGTAGGTAATAGGGAGTTTTAAATCTCATCTAAATACCCTCCAAGCCCTTAACAGAGATTAGAGTAAGACAGAGGAAAGGTACTTCTTTCTAGTAATTGGTTTAACTAATATGAATTGACTCCCTCTACATTCCAGGCTCTGTGCTGAGGGTGCAAAGATGAAGAGGGCGGGAGGAGGGTGCTTTTAAGCAACTCCCTGTGCAGATGTTTTTGGAGGGAAGGATAGGAATGAGAGCCCTAGATTTCCCTATAAAAACAGTATCTTTACTACATGTTGCCTGCCAATCTCTGCACGGAGAGTTGGAGGTCACTGGGCACTGACTCTTGGCTGGGCCCCTGATGTTGATGGTTTTCTGCCATTCTTCTCTGATGCTGTCTCTGCTGCAGTTGTTAAAGTGCATCATGTGTGCTGTCCTCTGGCTTCACCTACTGCGCCCACCGCAGATGGAAATTCACCGCAGGGTGCTGTGAACTCACTGTTGGTCAGACTGAGCTTCTAGGTCACACCCCAGCTTCCTGAGCCCCCAGCCTTGAGGCTTGCTGCCTCCGGGACCCAGCCCTGGGTTTCCTGATATTGCTGCTTCTGCTATTTCGATGAACAACAGCAGTGTCCCCAGTGCGGCCTGTGAGCTCTGCTACTCCCCCTCGGCAAGGCCACAGCTGTCTCTAGCTGCACCCACTCAGGCAGCAGAGCCCTGGAAACCCAGTACTGTGGTTTCCTCAGCACCCAGGAGGGTGTCAAGGGGGGGCTTATGAGGTTACAAGTGAAAGAGCACCCTCACCAACAACTCCCCCGTCCTCGCCATCGGCAAACTCCCATGTCACGTCCTCACCGCCCAAATCAAAGACAGGAGGCTGCAGAATGCCAGTCAAGAGGTTTAGGAAAATCTAGATGGATAAACCAGGTCCATCCAGGGAAAAACCACAAAAAGATTTCACACAATTTCATCTTGTATGTGTCAAGAAGGCTTGTTTCCGAAACATTCACATCTGTTACCTGAACCACATTAAAACGTTTCTCTGAAGTTACTAAGAACAAAATATCACACTCTCATTCCTCAAATGGAAAAAAATATGACCCTCCAAAAAGGTAAGTACCTTATTCAAAGTCATCCAGTGACACAGGGATATTATGGGAACAAAACCAAGTTATCAAGAGTGCACCCAATGTCTGGATGGTGTGGCTCAGTGATTGAGCATCAACCCATGCACCAAGAGGTCACCGGTTCAATTCCTGGTCAGGGCACATGACCAGGTTGTGGGCCTGATCCCCAGTGGGGGGCATGCTGGAGGCGACCAGTGTTCACTCTCATCGATGTTTCTATCTCTCTCTCTCTCCCTCTCCTTTCCTCTCTCTCTAAAAAAAATCAATAAAAGAAAGAAAAAATTTTAAAAGAGTGCACTCAAGACTAAGATGGCAGCGGGCAGGACCAGAGGGAGGGTGAGTGTGTGTGTGAGAGAGTGTGAGTGGACATGAAGGTGGACGACCAAACTCGTGCAGTGCAGAGACGTGGAGCAGAAGGTTCCTGTGCTATGGACGGGAGCAGCCGACTACCGCAGTAAGCGGCCCTTCAGGGCGCTTCTCCCTGCGCCGCTGGGAGGTCCCACCATTTTGGAAGATCCCAGGTCTTCCCTGGAGGGAGGCAGTGGGAGCGGCTAGGGCCCAGCAACCTGAGCCCACCAGCGCACCTGGTACCATCAGACCAGTGGACACAAGGTGTCAACACAGACCTGTGCACAGAAGTGGATCTCCCAAGGTGCCAGTAGCGGAAGCCACAGACAGCCCGGAGCCCAGCACCATCCCCCATAGTAGCAGCCCAATCAGAGTCGAGATATACCCCCAGTAACAGAGGCTGAGGAGCAGATATCCATCCCCAGGCAACAGAAACACAGACCAGCAGCTGAGACCTATCCCCAAAAACTACAGCAAAAGCTGAGCAGGAGTTGAGCCCCATGGAGCAGCAGCACTCCCCAGCCTCCAGACCTGGGGCTCCATAGAGCCCTGTGAAGTCCAGTAGCCCACAAGAGCAGTGGGAAGCCGCAGGCTGAGAGAGACTGGTGCAATATAGCTGCTGGCCTGCGGGACCTGCAGGGTGTGGGGGCACCAGAGAGGCCTGTGCAACCCAGCTGCACACAAGATAGGCCTAGAGGATGTGAAAATAGAGGCAGAGTGAATAGAAGCTACACAGACAAGCTCCCAGGATGAAACAGGAATTACAACTAAAATAAAGACAAATCCTCAGAAAAAAAGCTACAGTAAAGCAGCAGGACAGGTCCATATAACCAGGGACACTGGTAGGATCTGCAGAGGCACTAGAGGGTGGCAGGCTGGGAACCCACAGACAGCAGCAGTCTTAGCTGTGAGCAGCACCCTTGGGGAATAAAGACCAAGCCCACTTCACAGCGCAGAGAGCCTGGACAGAGCTCTAAAATAGCCACAGCCACTCATCTGGGGGCTACGGCAGAAGGAGGGCCGACTGCACTGGAACTCTGTGAAGGGTGCTCAGAGCTTTTGCTGAGTTGCTGCCACAAAGTATGATGGCCAGTGTGCTCCTTCCCTGAGCTGTGGGGGAAAGCAGCAGTACTCCCCTCAGAGATTCAGCCTTTCCCAGGTGAGGCAAAGAAATCCAAATAGAGGCTCATTAACAACCAGTATCTATCCCACCCTCTGGAAACGCTCCTATGTAGAACACCAGGGCTACATTCCAAGGCACTGAGCAACTAAGACTACTAGCCTCCAGGAAAAAGCTAGAGGATAACTGAACCTTTCCAGGGCTTGCAATTCTACCCAGGAAAGTAAGACTTGACAGTGGTGTTTAATATGGCCCGCCCAGGCCCATCCAAACACAGTAGAGGGAGACACAAACAGCAGAACACCAACACCCACAGGGAAAATTTGCCAAGCTCCAAGACCCATAGAGATAGCCAAAATGGTAAAACAAAGAAACAAATCCCATATGAAAGAACAAGAGAACTCTATCAAAGATGACATGCATGAAATGCTGTTAAGCAAATTATCAGAGGTAGAGTTCAGAGCCATGATATTGAGGAAGCTCAACAGTATGAATGAGGACATCAGCACAATGAGTAAAGATATAGAAACATTGAAAACCAACCAAGTAGAAATGAAGAATGACATAGCAGAAATAAAGAACACATTGGAAGGACTAACCAGCAGAGTAGAGGAAGCTGAGGACCAGATCAGTGAATTAGAAGACAGGGTAGAAAAAAAATCAACCAATCAGAAAACCAAAAGAAAAAACAATTAAAAAACAGAAAGAGAAGAAACCTTCAAATGGCGGCATATGTAAATGCAGAATCAGTCCTTCCACAACCATATCAAAGTTACAACTAAACTACAGAACAACCATCATTCAAAACTGCCTGAAATCAAGCTGAATGGAAGTCCTACAACTACGAAATCAAAGTAGCAGCCACATTGAGACTGGTAGGAGGGGCTGAGGCACGAGGGGCTGGTCCCACACCCATGTGTGGTGGATAAAAATCAGGAGGATACCTCGGCTGGGAAGGTCCTCCCTGAGGACTGAGGGGTCCCCGTACCACACCACATGCCCCGCTCAGGGTTCCAGTGCCAGGAAGAGAAGTCCTTATAACTTTGGCTGGAAAAACCAGTGGGAACTGAGCTCAGGGAAGTTGACGCGGCTGGAGCCCTAGGCAGCTCCTTAAAGGGCCCATGCATGGAGTTATCGGATTCACTCCCTCTAAGCTTGGAGGGGAGGCAGCTTGAGGGGCACCAGAGACATACAGGGAAGAACTGAGCTGTTAGGCACTGGAAGGAGGCCTGGAGAGGGGGCTTTCTCCAAGACAAACGTGCTGTCAGAGGCCTTTGTTCCTTTGGTGAGCCCTTCCCTAGGGTGGCAGACAGCTGCCCTATCTGGGACTCCAGCAACCTGGCTCACACTGGTAGCCTCGCCCTGGTGATTCACTGAGGCCCCGTCCCACCAAACTTTCAGGCCCACCCAAGCTGTTGCCAGTCGCCTAACCATAGGATTGCTCTGTCTTGGATCCTGCTTCAGGTTTTCCTAAATTCTTTCAAACAAGCAGTATCTGGTCTCAGGTACCCCATACCTCTCATTAAGTAATACACAGAAACAAACACAGGGAGGCAGCCAAAATGAGGAGACAAAGAAACAGGTCCCAAATGAAAGAACAGAACAAAACCCTAAGACAAAAACTAAGTGAAATGGAGATAAACAACCTAGCAGATGCTGAGTTCAAAATACTGCTTATGAGGATGCTCAATGAACTTAGTGAGAACCTCAGTAAACTTAGTGAGGGCCTCAAGAGCATAAAAAAGACCAGTCAGAAATGATGGATGCACAGTCAGAAATGAAGGAGGCACTAACTAAAATAAAGAATAATTTACACAGATTCAATAGTAGAGTAGGTAAATCCAAGAAGCAAACCATAGATTTGGAATATAAGGAAGCAAAAAATGCCCAATCAGAACAGCAAAAAGAAAAAAGAATTTTAAAAAAATGAGGATAGTGTAAGGAGCCTCTGGGACAACTTCAAGCGTGCCAACATTCGCATCTTGGGGGTGCAGAAAAAGAAGAGAAAGAACAAGAAACTGAAAACCTGTTTGAAACACTAATGGCAGAAAACTTTCCTGACTTGGTGAAGGAAACAGACATACAAGTCCAGGAAGCACAGAGAGTCCCAAATAAGATGAACC